CCACGCCGAGAAGGGTGCTTTGGGATCGCTGGGGTCTCCTGTCCTAGACCCACGCTACGCCACACCGCCAGACCCCAGTCTAGGCCCCGGGGCGCGCCGCCCCCAGTAGACTTTTCTTAACTGAATATAACAATTCTGTACGGCTTTTCAAATACGAATGGTGGTGTACAACCGAATTTTTACACTACATACCTGCTGCAGTTGATTTTTAGACAGTCCCCTAAAGACTGTCTATACCAGAAGTCAAAATGCCCCCCCCCCCTCCTTCCTCTCTCACCGTTCAGCTCTTGCTCGACCCATGGGGGATTTTACAAAGCAATTCGTAAATAACGATGTATCGTAATTGGTTAAAAATGAAGTTTTCGTAGTAGAAAATTATCGGAGAAAATACCGTAAAATCACGATATTTATTTTTACTGTGTGCATACTGTTGATTTCGTACATGTTGTTCCAGTTATTTGGGCATACGGATTGACGCACGAAATGAGACAAAAATGTGGCAATGGCAATGACATGAATAGAACAAACAAAAAAGTGAAAAGTACATTTGCAGCCAACGCGCTGAGCATGTGACATGAACGAAAAAGTGCATTCCATAAGTGTGTGCCGTTGCATGTTGCATCGCCCGGGGCTTGGCTGGGGCGCTGTTGACGTCTAGCTCCGCAACCAGGGGCGCGCGCGTCGGCAGCTGGGAGGCGGGCGAGGCGAAGTGGAAAGGCCAGCGCGAGGGGTCAGGTCAGATCACCCGCAGCATCCGGGGCGTTCACACCTCCCCGCTCACTGGGCCGGGGAGGCAGAAGCTGCGCCGCGACCCGCGCGCGCCGAGCTGCTCCTGCAGAGAGGCGTTAACAACGCACACTCACTGGGACGCCCTTTATCGTACGAGTCCTATGCAGTGGTAAGAGCATACGCACGTGTATGTACGAACGCGAGCACATTTCTGAACACTCATACATACATCCTGAACGTGATAAATGTTGTGCGCTACACTTCTCTCTTCGTTGTGAACTCGATTGCGGAGAATTTTGTGCAAACGTAAAATGGATCACAAATCAGCCGTAATACACATGAAATTGTACGTAGTTTAGATAATTTGATCGATATTACAAAAATGCCTCCATCCGTAAGGTATAAACCTGTCACCCATACCTTACGTATTGAGGCATGTTTGTAATACTGATCAAATTATCCATCATATGGGAAATTTATTACGTATCACGGATGATTTGTGGTCCATATTACGTTTGCAGCAAATTCGATGTAACTTTCGGATAGGAGAGCAGATCCGTAAAGAAATGAGAGTGTAGCGCAGGGTAACAA